GATTAATTTAAAATATAAAGAAGAAATGATTTTCCAAGACAAGATATATTTTAGCTGATAGCTTTCTGTTCTCTCTCTTCCCTTCTTCCGTCCCTTCCACCATGATATATCCAATATTCTTACTTCCAACAGGTATGTAAAATTTTATAGAGGTTTATCAAGAAATGATTTTAGCTGAGATAAAATAGTTTTTAATGACTGCTGATTAAAGGAATTAACATGAATATTGAATTTTCTCCATAAAATATTAGTACCAATGCAAGATAAATCTATGCTGTAGGACATTTCACCCACAGAAGGACACTTCCAATGTTTAAATATCTTAAATTCGTATGCAACATTACAAAAGTATTAATGTTGTCACTGTTGCTAAAAAATAATTCAAAAGGAGAGAAAATATATTATGGCCTTATTTTTTTTTTTCTCGATAAACATTTTAATATTTATTGATTCTTTAACCTTAAAGACACTAAGTCACAGAAAAGCTCAACTATTAAAACAATGATTGAATCTTGATATTTACAAAAGTTCAGCTATTAACTGAGGCTGGATAATAGAAGGGCAGAGGTAAATTGCTTGGAAATGCCAAAGAGAGCACCATGTGGTTTAGGTCAGAGACTGACCCCGTGTTATAGTGCTGCATTTTGTCCGTCTAAGGACCAATATCATGATGTTTGATATTTGCCAGAATGCCCATGTTCAGCTCGACCCCCAAATATTCTAGCAATTAATTTTCTACAGACTGTACTTTTTACTGTGGATTTCATTGTGGAGACAGACTTCACTGTCCAACCACATATCTGTTTAGGTCTTTCTCTGTCTTTCTTGGAGGGATTTGTAATTATAAAATGTGTACTATGCATCTCACTGTGCAAACTTTATCATTGTAAATAATATTGTAAAAATTAAGATTTGGCATTTAATGGTGCTTAGAATATGCTGTACTGGGATGTACAATTGAACAACTTATTCCCTTTCCCTTTGCTTCAAGTCCTGTGCTTTTCCCTGCACTGGGGCACAGCCCAACTCTAAAAGGGATCATTGTGTTCACTATTCTGGTGTTAGCCACAGAGCCCTAGGAGGAACATCTCCTGTGAAATGGGAGATGTGGGTTCAAACATTCATCTTATGAACTGAAGATGAGTTTCACAGCCATAAAGCAATGCTTTGTCATGCTGGTGCTTAACTGAACTTCATCAGAAAATGCTGGAAAAGTGAAGGATGCCGGGGCTTAAAATCTGACCCCCTCTTCAGCACTTCAAATTGACTGGTTTAGACTTATCCCATCTGTGTGCTGGACAATAGGAATCTCATTTTACTCATTTACATTTTCATTCCTGTTTAACAGGAATGTGAGAAATGTTAATGTTTAAAACAGGTTTGCAAACTTTATTATTTGAACCAGAGATTTATGTAGTAATGGAAAAGGTCTAATTTATAACTTTCAAGTTCAAGTATACCAAGACTTAAACCAGCTAGTTCCAGGTAGAATAATTGAATCAGTTGCAGCATAAAACAATGCTGTATATAATGAAGTGAACACAAATAAATGTTTATTTATACACACTTTTATTTAAAGAATAAAAGAACACAAGTAAAGAATAAATAAATATAATGAAGTTTATTGACAGCTAGATGCTATGCGTAAAACATTTCTTAAAAGATATGCTTGGCATATGGAGGCTATTTATTGCCAGAAACGGTTGCTGCAATAATAGGAAATTAGCAAGATTATACCTTATTAAAGGCTGCAAGGAAATGAGATGATTTTAGATATGTTTCTCTCACTATTTCATTTATTTCTGTGGTTGTATGAGTTACAATGTTTGTGATTTTGCTGATAGCTTGGAGAAGATAGGTATAATTCAGTATTCACAGATGTAAATTGTAAAGTGAGGTGTAAAACTTACCATAAATTCTTTCTCATTGTAATGAAGATCCCATGTATCTTTGATTTTTATGAAATATTCACAATAGTATTGTACATCGACCAGCAAGGCAATCAAATCTCAATTATTCACAAGTTAATATTATTCTCACCCTTTGAATTTCTGCAGCACGTTTTCCTGACTTCTCATTTGAATATGAGAGAAACCACCAGACAACTACTTTTCTTTGTGTTATGAAAATATTGTAAATTTGCATTGCAAAGAACAACTACAAGAGAGAAACATTCAATACCCTCTTCAAAGTCTATTTAAATTAGTGCACAGCAAAACTGGGCAAAAATAAAATGAGAATTTTTGTGAAATAAAAAAGGAATAGTTCACTAAATCCCACGTTAAATGGCTAAACAATAGAGGAAATACCCTGGTGTTTTGAAAACAGTTGTGATGGTAATAATTAAAGAGTTTTGTTGTGTTTTATTTTCATGCGAGTCTTGTCTGGCAGAAGATTTCCTGTAGATTTTGTCCCCTTGTCATTTTCATTATTATTGTGTCAGTTGTGCCCAAATGTACCAGTTGAGGTCACATCATTGTGTTACAAGCTGTATAAAAAGACATTGAGAGACAGCTCTTAGTTAAAAAAATGCAAGTCTGAAGTCTAAAAAGTGGAAACAGAGGCACAAAAAAGTGTTTTACTGAGAGTCATACAGCAGGCTGGTGGAAGAGACACGTCTACCAGTCAAGTTTACTGCTTTCTAGATCAGTGGTCTTACTTGTGAGACACTGCCTCTGTGAGTTTAGTAAAATCAGTTCAGCTGCACATCTGATAAGCGTACACAGACAAGATAACAAGATACTAAGAATTGTATAAGGACAGATACAGATTTTTTGCTGGATCTTCACAAAGATGAACACAATGCTGTCCATGTTATGTTTTCCCAACAGAAGTGGTATTTGCACATTGAAGTGTTGTGCATCTTGGCACCACAGGGCATACCAGTGGTTCCCTGTTCACCAGCTGCTTAACCATATTAACTTTTATCTTTATGCCTAGCTACTCTGTCATATTACCTCTTCAGTTTGGGTCATTAGGGTTCTTTAAGCTAACATGGCTTTGCTATTGTCACTTTGACTCCTGTGTAATTACAGGTATATTTAAGATGGGTTTAAACTTGCTAGTTCTCAGATAATATCACCAGTCTACTTTATGCCAACATGGAGCTCAATGTGCATTATATTTATGTTTTGTAGGTGGTTTGTCTTCAGACTACTATGGTACCAAGTGTACTATTATGACTGTTAACAATATTCAGGTTAAATATATATAGACATGACTTCAACATGCATGATCTGCACAGCAATCTAGAAATATACAGTGTTGAGTCTTTCGTATGATAAAGCTCAGAGGCTTTTTGTCAAGGCAGTTTTCCTGGTTTTCTATGATGAAATTTGTGCATGTATACAGTATCTTATGTTTCCAGAATGTATTTAAAACTGATAAACCTACAAGAAAACTTATTTTTTCTTGTTTTCTACAGTGTTTTTTCTAAATGTTGTAATATGAAGCTGTCATATTAAGTTGTTAAGCAAGTGAAAGCTTTTTGACTGATAGCTCCACTGCATGTGTTCTTTTAATAAAGCAGACTGTTTGCTAGGACTCAGGAGGACTGCCCACACGTCTCCATTGTGTGTTCTTACCTGAAGGGTGGGGTTTGAATCCCATGTGATGGAGACGTTCAAAGTGCTGATGGCTGCGGCTGTGGCCGTTTTGTTCACCAGGAATTGTGCAGAGTTCAGTAACAATGGTTTCTTTTTTTGTCAGTCTAGCTTAATATATGGTAGCTATTGATTTAAAATATGAAACTTCTGCTAGTTAGTGTCAAGCTTTAGGTGTCCTGAATAGAGGTCATTATTCCTTTTCATCTTGAGAAATGAACTGAGCTTTAACTGTGAGCAATATTTAACTAGATTCTCTTCTTGACTGAGCTGTTACTGTGATATGATCACAAGTATGAACAGGTTAAAAAATAGTAACATAATTCTTAGCTGTAAGAGATGGCTTATATTTGACTGCTGTCTAAATGACCTCCTTCTTACAAAATACATTTTTGTTATTTAGAGGTATACATATTTTTGACATTTCTGTTGTCTAATATAGCTAAATAAAACCCAGCAGCCTCATCGGACAATTTTTTTCATTTCTCCTCCACCTAAGCAAATTGATGTAAATGGAGAGACCTGCTGGCAGGTGGAATTTTCATAGATGTTAACAAATTCAGGTGTACTTCAGAAGTGGGGGTTAGATGAGCACAAAAAGTGGGGTTTATTCTTCTTTTGCTAAATCTTTCCCAGGAATAATGTGGATATTTCCATTTGAGATATGCCAGGATGCATTTAGCCTTGTGACCTCAGAGAAAAGAGCACAGCAGCAAGCAAATCTGTGTTCTTATAGTTAAGGAAGATTGTTTTCATATTTTTTAATTCTAGGAACATAAGCCACTTTTGCCTTTCCTGTCTTTTCTCTTTTCTTTTTTTGTACTGAATTAATAGCGAAAATTATTCTGATAGAAACATATTGATTGCAGTAAAGAACTGTATGTTACCTGCCCTGGACTCCTCACAATGGTCAATGATATTTAACTGCTGAGAAATGTGCTCTGCCTGACAGTTACCAAACAAAAGCAGAGTTGTCTTTCATTGTTAGAGTTTGTTCTCTACATGGCCTTGAATGTTCATTTCTTTGGCATAAGATAACCATTCATTCTCTTGCTTTGCAGTTTCTAGATGGCTAGGTACTTAAAAAGTCAATACTGAATTTCTAAGCAGAAATCCACATATGATTACAGTAAAGCTCCACTATCATAGCATTGTATTAAGAGATGTATTGGTATATTTTATATCTATAAAAATAGGAAATTTTAATTTGACTTATCAACAGCATTTTAAAATGTGCTACCTTGGTTTTACTGATAATCATTTTTAGAAAGTATAATTATTCTGAGTCTAGATTCACCCTAAGTGAAAAATAAAAAGTGAATTATTGCTGGAAAAATCATCCAAAGGCAGGGGCAACTGTAAGCTTTCTAACATAATTCTCTTTGTCCTTTATTTAAGGGTTAAAGGCAAGTGATCCAACCATGACCGGCAAAACACAGACCAGCAATGTCACCAATAAGAACGACCCAAAGTCCATCAACTCCAGAGTCTTCATTGGCAATCTGAACACAGCCATTGTCAAAAAAGGTGACATCGAAGCAATCTTTGCAAAGTATGGGAAAATAGTTGGCTGCTCAGTGCACAAAGGTTATGCGTTTGTACAGTACATGAGCGAGAGGCACGCGAGGGCTGCAGTGGCGGGAGAAAATGCCAGGATCATCGCGGGCCAGCCACTAGGTAAGGGCTTGTTCATATGATTGAAATATTGTTTTCTTTTACCTTTCTATTTGAAATATCATCTGCTGGTGGTGCTTTGGGGACTAGTAAGTATGTTTTGCCATTGTTCCATCTAAACATATTTCTAGTATGTTGGATCTGGCAGAATTTTCAAAGTATTCGATGTTACCTAGATATTGCAAAATGTTGAGTGCTATAAACTGCTGATTTATTAAACACATCACTTCTGACTGCTCTATACTTCTCTGTGTAATCCCATTGCAGTGAGCATGATTACTCCTGTGAGGAAAATATCAGTATTTTTCTCTTAGACTCTAGTTAGTAAATTTAATGTAATATAACAAGACTCATCTAATAGATGTCATTATCTTTCATTTAATGAATTTAAAATAATATACAGCCCAGCAGTGGGTCAGATTTTATACAGAAGCAAAAGAATGAGTTTTGTTAGTCCTTGAAATTGTACCAAATCAAATTGCAATGCTGTTATTCATTTAGAGAAGTTTATTATGAAAAACTTAAGTTGAAGTTATTCCCACATAATGTGGTAGACACTGTTCATTTGAACTCCAAATTAAAAAAAAAATAAAAATAAAGTGTAACACTTTTTTTTCTAGTGCTTTGTCATGAATGCTTATGTAAGGTCTGGTTCTTTCTTATTGCAAGTGTTACCTTTGAGAGCTATTTACATTTAGATATGGAGGCCGTCAATGATAAAATCATCTGGCGTACGGTACTAACCCCATCTATCATATATATAGTAATGATAGACAGTACAGCAAGATGTTTGGTATGAACCAGAGATCTATCACTAGACCTCTGAACTGTGTTGCTCAGATCCAAACCCTTGTGTGTAACGGCTATGTCAGGAAAACATGAAGTGTAGCTAGTGCTTTGGCTGTAACAAGTCATAAAGAATAGATATGGCTTATTCATTTTCAATTTCTCAGGCTGTGGAAATCTGGTTTTCCGATTATTTGTAGAAATTGAGGTATTTGTTAGATGGGTTGTTTTTTTGTCACAGTTGTTCAACAGTAATTTTAAGTTTTATAACCCCTGTATTTTGGGTTCAAAAGAAAAACAGATTAAAGAAATCCAATTGCATTTTAGGGGAGATTACTTTACAACTTTGTAGTAAAAGTTAAATATATGAGTGAAATAAAAGAATTCAAGTGATAAAGCAAGGCAGCAAAGTCAGTCTGTGGGATGGCATTATTAGAAGATGTTTCCTGGAGCGGTGGTCTCCGAGCAATAGGCCATGTAATGCCATCAGTGCATTATTTACAGCTCCTTGCACACTGGTCTGACCAGATTTTTTTAAACTGTGTTTTCCTAAGGCAATAGATCTGTTATTACTATGACTACTGTTGCTAGTCTCTTTTAGTATTTCTTGTGGCATCTATAATACGCCAAGTGCTTTGTACAAGGAGATATCCTTGATCTACTCAGAGTACTTTTGTGCTTTGCATAGAAGGTAAGCGAAGTTGTTGTAAAAAAATTAAAGGACCAATAATTACTTGAATTGTTCAAATCTTTTAATAATAACAGAAAGTTTATTCAATACTAAGTTTCAACTGTACAATCTTAAAAAATTTTGATTATTCTGCAAAGTTTTGTGATGGCATATTTCATGCCTCAATTCCTGATATATCAAGAAATATAAAGACTAAGCAAGGTGAAATTTTTCTTTTAGCTGTTCCAAACCTCATTTACTCTTCCTGTATACAAAAAACGAGTTGTATACAGTATTGTGTGACAAAGAAAATGACTTTGTAAAAGTGGTACTTCTTGATAGACAAACTCTTTCTATGAATTCTTTTTATTAGCAGTAGACATTAACAGTTACCTCAAAATAATGAGGAGCTGATAGATAAAATTTGCTTGGCATTATGACCCAGGAGAATAACTTTTGTGCATTTGAATGGAAGGAAGTAACAGTAGACTCATTACTGTGAAACTACTCGATGAAAAAAGACTTCGTTCTCTGTCCTGAGAGCCTTGCATCCTGAAATAAGCAGAACACATGATTTTATATCAGCAATCAGAGTATGGAAAGGGGGAAAGAAAAGCCTTTTACAGATGTACAAATAAACTTGATTAGCGTAGCTGAATTTTCTTTTAACTGGCATTAGAATATGTTAGTAATATAATGAGGGCTGGATAGTAGTCAGTTTTGGAAAGCTGTTTGAACAAAGGAATATTTGAAAAAGATTATCCCATAGTATGTGCCTGATACTACAATACACTCTAGCACTTAGTACCTCATGAAAGAAGAAATAATTTAATTTAGACTGTATTATTAATCTACATTAGTTCTTTCACGGTTTTGACAGACTGACTATTTATGTTAGCTCCAATCTTCTAAGGAGTCCTGCCGTTCAAAATTATGATATCCTCTACAGCAGCTTTACCCATAAGTCAGAAACTGTTCACATGGATGTAACTGAAATTAAAAATTGAACCTGTAAATTCCTATATCTGTATACAGTGTTCCACAATTCACTGAAGATACTGCTGCAATTCCCATCCAGTTGTAGGCAATGGAATTGCATTAATGGTGTGCATTAGAGTCCTGCCTAAATTTTTTCTGAGGTGGAGTCCCAAAGTTTTAAGCTCCATAGGTAAATAACAAGGCATTTTGTTTAACAAATTCCTCAGAAGTACAAATCTAAAGCATTGGTAGTACCCTCAGTCTTGCCAGCTTTCTGTGGATCATTATAATTGGCCTGCTGGTCTCCTCGGACAACGCTCAAGCTCCTACCAATGTGTTTGGTGGTCAGTGATGTGCAATGGCTATGCCATGGATATTGTAACTTCAGGGAAGTGGACTTCATGGCCTGTGTGGTTATTTCCAAGTTTTCTGTTGCATGAAGTGCAACATGCTCTGAAAAGTTGGAGAACATTTGCTTATATTTGCCTCCTAGCCACACAGGGCAGAGACAGCGTGAATAGAAACTATTATGAGGAAATACTGACTCTGTCCATGAGATTTGCCAAGGATGATTTCACCCCTCTGTGGTGAGAGGAGGACTAGAGACCTGATTGCTCCAAAGCAAATGGTGCAAGTCCCTCATTGCAACTGTGGGTTGAGGAGCAAGCTGCAGCAAGAATGAAACTTTTGGGTACATGATGGAGAATACAGTTCTTCACCTGAAGTTTTCTCCTGCCTTTGTAGTTCTTCACAAGGGTCACAGCAACGCTATTTAACTTTATTATCCATTACAACACACATGAATTCTGTGAAACCAAATATCACATAAAAGTCATTTAATGTTCTATAACTTTATATTGTATATACCTGTTTACCTTATGCATTTGGGAAATATATGTAACAGCTTCCATCTAAAATTCTAGTATAGCTATCATAGCAACTTCTGCATCATAATGTCCCTTTGATTTGCTTGGTTTGTAGTTCATAGACTTATATTTTATAATTATATTACCTAATTTTTTCCCTCTTTCACGCACATTTTTAAACTAGCATAATTCCTTTAACATTAGAATATGTTTTGATTTGCACCAGAATAAGAGCTGAGCCACCTCACAGGCACCTTGAGAAAGCAAGTCAAATGTTGCAAAGCTAGTACTTTTGGTCTCGTCTGTTGCTTTCTTTAAGACACCACGGAATTTCATTCTTGGATGCTGAGAAAAAGGAAAAAGATTACAGTACCAAGAGTATGAAAGACACTGTAGTTCTTCAGTTGGTGCCCTTTTTAACTAATAAATTAGTTCCACTGTAGCGTCAATCCTGTTTTGTTGCTGTAAGTATTATTCACGTATGTCTGCCTTCAGGTCTAAATTAGATGAAGCCTCTGAGTACCAAGTGAGTGCATATTGACATGTACCCTAAGGTAAGATGGTGGTTGCAGATAATTATTTTGGGTGACATATTCTATTGAACATCCTTTTGAGAAGCACAGAAGCCCTGCAGGGGCTTTCTAAATGATGACTACCCAGTAGAAAGCATCCAAGGAGAAGAGCAGGTAATAAAGAGAGCCTTTAGAGAGACTCAACATATACCTTTGTTGTAAATTGAATTGGTGTGAAAATAGGGCTATTTTTCCTTTTGTTTCCCTTGTCTCTACTCAAAACAGATCTTCTCTATTTTATATTTGTAAGGTCTAGCAACACTGAGAGACACATCTATGTATTTGCAGAACTTGGACTTTCCAGTGTGAATCAATTCTTCACCTCAATCTGAAAACCGGAGAACATTAATTATGTCATGAATGTTTGTATTTAAAAAGAATAAATAATTATGCTGCTTTAGTGAACTCATTTGTGAAAAATGCACTTTGGAATGAAAAATGAAACACCTATACAAATTTTCTTGATGACTTTAAACCAATGGTACACTAAGAAAGGAAATTCAAAACTGAATTAGTGATTGGTCAGTTTTAACTTTGCTATCAGCCTTCAGTCAGTAGTATGCAAGTACAACAATCCTAGAAGACATTCATTTGTACAAGCATAACTATGACTTATTGAAGCAATCCTGTTATTCTTACCCACCTACCTCCAGCTACCATAATAGCAAGATATACCTGTGCAGGATATCAGGTAAGCAATGCTATCTTGTTTTAAAGTGTACAGTGGATGAGCAACTGGAAAGGTTTCTTATTTTGCTTCTGGCAAGTCTGTAAAGACTGGAGTTTTAATGTGGGTCAAAACATTCCAGCCAAGGACAATGACTGGCTTAGAGAAACCCCAGAGATTGTACCAATAAAATGAAAAAGCAGAATGTTTTGGTATTTTAACATATATTTGAATGAGACATTAAAAATAACATATATTACATACATATAATAATTAATTATATATTCAAACTATATTTCAAGTTTTATGCTTTTAAGAGATTGGATATTGCATGCTCACATTACTGGACCAGAAAGGGCAATACACTTCATAGAAAATTCTTTG